CATTATGTAAATTTAATTTATACTTATTTAAATGTGTTGTGTTTGTTTGTACTGATGAAGGCATGTGCCGAAACGTTTAATTCTGTATAATGTACAATTATTATTAAAGCTAACTCATATTGTTCTATTGACACAATTTGTTCGTGTCTTATTAATATAAGATAAAGAATTTTGATTTACAAGGGATTGACAAGTTTTTATCTTTGAAGGCAAGAAAAGGGACATTTTATCTGCCTATGGGGCTACAGCCCATGTAGGGCTTTTTCCTGCCTCACCACTTCCTTCTACTCAGACCTAAACGAGGCTTTTCATTGCCCCTCTTGGATTCCCAGCTGCTGTAAAACTTTGTGAACATTATCCATCCATCTAAGTCTAGTTCTAGCATTTTTGAGTCGTTTTCTTGTGGGGTTTTGGTGACGTACCCTCTTCACTCCTCTGTCATATAATTATCCCGCCTGACGTAGCCTGCCCTTTTTTTATTTATGCTACTAGCGTGTGATCATGATATTGTCTACACCACTCCTGGTTGGTTCGTATTCTCCATCCATTTTCATCCATTGTTGGTTCGTATTCTCCATCCATTTTCATCCTTTGTTGGTCCGTATATTTTCCGAAGAATGCTTCTCTCTTTTCATAGTGTATGTCTTTTTAAACTATTATTTTCATATAATCCTCATACATATCCCCCATTTTTCCTTTTAGATTGGACTCATTTATTGGTTCCGTGTTACTTAGACTTTTCTTCCCTTTGTAGAATCTTCCACGAGCTGCCTTCGTAATTTAAAACTCTCTTAAAATCTCTTAGCTAAATTCACGAAATGTGCTGTTTACTTTAGATGTGCAATATTCCTTGATGTGCACGCATATGAAAGGAAATTAACCTTCAACCACAAACTTGCCTTAAGGAATATTTGCTGATTTGTTTGATTGCTTGCTGCTGTTAAAAGTATGATAGCCATGTGTCAAGATTCAATGACGTGCCACCAGTAAACAAATGCACGCAAAAATTTCCTAATCGTAGGATGCCCATAAAAAGAAAACGCTTAGATTGCTCAGAAAAATAAAGTTTAGTTGGTTAGCTCCATCTACGTCAGTCTAAACCGGTGTTTCCTGAGTAGCTTACGCCCCACGGGGAAGGGGGGGGAGGGAAATTTGATTGTTTGGGGAGTGGGGGTGCAATTCGAAAATATTAAGTCAAAGTTGAATTACTTTCAAACTATAAAGAATTTTTTTGAAAAAAAAAGAGCAACATTAAAGTCTTTATTTACTGCTCATACTGGAACTGTCCATCGTACTCTGGAGGCTAGTTATGAAATTTCCTTATCACTAAATCTGGGGAAATCTTGCTATAGGAGAGAATCTAATCAAACCATCAATATCAACATTTCTTAAAACAGTTGTGGAAAAAAGATGACAAAGATGTGAAAACTATGACACTCAGTAACAATACTTTTAGCAGAAGAATAGAAGAAATGAGTGAAGATATTGAAATACAACTTGTTGAAAAGCTGAAAACAAAAATATTCTCAGTGCAAATGGATGGATGAACTTTGAGAGACAGTGAGGCTGTATTGATAACTTACGTATGATACATTGATAAGGGATGTTTTTTTAAAGATATGTTGTTCTGTAAATCATTAAAAAGCACCACTACCACTAAATATATAGATATAATAAGCTAAAAAAATTACTTAGATGTCAATAATATACAAATGAAAAATATAAAATGTTGTGCTGCAGATGGTGATTGTAATATAATGGGCAAGAAAAATGGCTGCTTAAAATTAATGAAAGGTGAGAATCCAGCAATGTTTCTTATGCATTGTGTTATTCACAGGGAAAACTCACTAGCTAAAACATTTCGCGTGTTCTAAATGCCAAATGTGTACGTCTCTTCAAGCAATTTTGTGAAGAACGAAATGAAGTCTATGTCAGACTTTTACTTCACACTGAAGTAAGATGGCTTTCGAAATGGAATTGCTTGCAAAGATTTATGGAACTATTTGATAATCTTGCGTATTTTTAAAGTGACAAATCTGAAATGAAGTAGCTGTTAACGGTCGATGGTAAAGCATGTGTGAGTTATTTAGCCGATGTCTTTGAAAAACTAAACATATTAAATATCCAACTTCAGGGATCAAATAAAACTCTTGTTCATGCGGAAGCGAAGATATTCGGTTCTGGTTCGGTTCTGGTAGTGTTCGTTGCTGCATCCATGTACTGGCATCTGTGCAACGGTTGGGGGTATGATGCTGCTAGTCTAACAGCTCCTAGCTGAGCCAGGCCAGCCTTGAATCTTTCGACCGATGTCGAGTAGACAGTGGCATTGTCCAGGTGGTTCCATGCTATTATTGTGCGTGGGAAGAAAGATTGTTGATAGTGTACTGTGTTGCACTGAGGCACTTTGAAGCATTTGCTGTTGTTTCGGGTGTGATTGTTTATGGGATTGTCAGTGGTGAAGTCAGTGTTCAGTGAGCGCTTTGCTCTGATCAGTCTACCCGGCTTCTGTGGGGTGAGATTTCTGCGGATGAAACCTAGGTTGGAGTTGGTTTTTTGTTTTAATTTTGTTTATATGGGTTGACCATTTTAGGTTATTTTAGAAGAGAATTCCAAGGTATGGACTATTTGCTACTTGTTGGAGGATTGTCTCGGATAGTGAGTACATATAGGTTGATGGTTTTTTTCTTGAGATGCTCATTATGTAGCATTTGGTTTCATTAAATTTCATGCCCCATTTGTCCGCCCAATTCATGAGGCACTTCAAGTCTTTTTGGAGGTGGTTGTGGTCATCGTAGACGTTTATCTCTCTGTAGACAAGACAATCATCTGCAAACAGCCTCACTTGAGATTTTACAGTATCGTGGAGGTCGTTTATGTGACAGAGAAAGAGAAGGGAGCCCAGCATTGTGCCTTGTGGAACTCCTGAGTTTACTGTGGCTTTCCCTGATTGGATGCCATCCACCAATACTTGCATGGTATTTTGTGTTAGGAATGTTGAGAGCCAGCAGTGAAGATTGCCGGTAATGCCATAGTGGTGGAGCATATGTAGAAGAATACTGTGTGGAACAGTGTCGAAGGCTTTGGAGAAGTCGAGAATTGCCATGTCGACCTGGGTACCTTTGTCATATGAGGCTAGGAGGTCATTGGTGGTGATGATTAATTGAGTTTCTGTTGAGAATCCAGAGCGGAAACCATGATTTAGGTTGGTCAAAATGTTGTAGTGTTCAAGGTGGTTCATGATGTGGTGATAGATGATGTGTTCTAGGATTGTGGATGGGACGGAGGTCATGGATATTGGGCGGTAGTTTGCTGGGTTATGGCGGTCACCTTTCTTGTAGGCACTAGTGATGTTTGCATCAAGCCAGTCTAGAGGGAGTTTGCCGGAGTCAAGCGACTTTTGAAAAATGTGGGTCATGGCTGGGGCAATGTTGTCAGACAGGGTCTTCAGGACAATGTTCGGGATACAGTCAGGTCCGGGCGCTTTATTGGGCTTCAGGTTTTTGAGAAGTTTTGCTACTCCTGTTTCAGTTATGTGGAGGGGGCCTATTGTACCAGTTGGAGGTTTTAGTGATGGAATGACTGTGGTGGAGATCTTGGTGAAGACAGATTGAAACTGTCTTAGGAGAATTTCTGCTTTTCATTGGCCATCGCTTACAAGTTGCCCGTTTTCTAGCAGGGGGGCTACACCGATGTTGTCTTGCTTCCTGGATTTAATGTAGCGCCAGAAGGGTTTTGTCTTGTTTTTTTCGAGGCCTTCTTGGATGACTCCATTTATTTACTGACAATCTCCTCTTCTTAGTTCCCCACGACAATGTTTCTGGAACTGGCGGTACAGGGTCCAGTTGTTGGTAGTTTGGGCTTTCTTCAATAGTCTTTTCTTTCTCTTCAGCAGCTTCTTGAGCCGTGCGTTCAGCCATGGTAGATGACATGGATTCTTTGCTGTCGCTGATGGGATATTTTGATCTATGCTGTTGGTTAAGGTATTTTTGAAGGTCGACCATAGTGTATCTACATTCTCTCCCTTGCTATATTTTTTTAGGATGATCTGTTCAGCGGCAGCGAGATCTAGTTTGATCTTGTCCCAGTTTGCCTTACTGAACTTGTAAGATTTCCTGGGATTCTGGCACGTTATTTCAGCTTTGGAGTAGAAGTCAGCCACATTTTGTTGTGCGGTTGTGACGATATACATTGTAATCTACCGGGAAGACTTCTGAGGACTTTATGTGGTCCAGGGTTTGTTCTTTCCCAGGTTTTATGCCTCTGAGCCATGACTCTGTTCCACATATTATGTAGGGTTTGGTGTATTGGATGATGGCTGCGAGCTCTTGTCTAATTGATTCTATGCTTTGGCAGTTGATATTTATTAGGCGGAGATTTGCATTTTTGTGGTGGCCAGGGATGAAGGGAGAGGTTTGGGTGTTGTTTGTGTTTTTGGGAGCTTGTGGGATACCTTTGGGTTGAGTAGGGCATTGGCTGGGGTGCTGGGATTTTGTGGTACTAGTTCTATGCGGTGAGAATGGGAAAGGCTTTACTTTAGATTCAGCGTTTGGATTGGGTGATGAGAGGGGAGAGGAGTTTGAGCAGTTTGATAGCTGTGGAATGTGAAGCTGTTGTTGTTGATGCTGTTGCAGCGTGGACAAGACCATGCAATGGAGGGTTGACTCGTTTCGCCGTAATCCACGGATCGATCGTAGGCACATAGCAAGTGGAACCAGATTCCACATGTGTCGCATGCTACGCCTTTGCTGTGTCAGTGTGTGTGTGTGGAGGCGGTATGGCTGAGGCCGGGCTTTAGGTGCACATCACCACACAAGACGACGATCAGGAATGTGATAGAAGGGTTGTGGTTGGGTCTATCTAATATTATGCAGAGCTGGCATTTGTAAAGTTTCATCCATATCTCAATGGAGCAGGGGTTTAGTGTCCATTGCTTGGGAAAGGTGGTTTTGTCGTTTACTGGTGCAATGGGGGCCAGCTTTGCGTTGAAGGAGGTAGGAGCCTGGTTATGAAGAGGTATATCATGGGTAGGAGTAGTAGTCCTCTGCGGAGAGCATTGGGGAGGCAAGATAGGGAGTGTAGGTCAGGTAGGAGGAATATGGGGGTATATTGGGGCCACCAACAAGTTACTACTAGGTTTAATGATATCTTATGTTTGCAAATATAAAAATACCACTCCAAGCAATCTGGCGTGTTTACCGTTAGGTAAGGAATGTTTGTCGACTGACCGGCTTCAGTGTGCCTAGAGTTAACACAGTGTTCACTCAGCGCTTTGTTGTTGTGTGTAGCTCAAAATAAATGGTGATTGTATAGATACTGACACTTAGCTGCATGCCTCAACACATACAGCTACTGATGAATTTGGAAATCCAATCTTGAAGGAAACAAGTAATTAGGTTTGTTTACACTAGGAGCCTATGTAGAGTCCAATTTTAAAACGCTAGAGATAATTTCCTTGTCACACACATGGCCGCCATCTTGGTTTCATTAACTTTATACTTTATTACATTGTCTATCCATCCATCCTTGTGGCGCTACAGGCCATGTAGGGCCTTGGCCTGCCTCACTACTTCCTTCCACTCAGACCTAACTAATGCCTTTCTTTTCCATGCTTGGACTTTCAGCTGCTGTAGATCTTTTTCTACATCATCTATCCACCCAAGCCTAGGTCTACCTTTGAGCCTTTTTCCTCTGGGGTATTGGTGATGTACCCTATTCGTTCCTCTGTCATTTAGCATTCTCTCTAGGTGTCCTGCCCAACGTAGCCTGCCTCTTTTTATTTCTGCCACTATCGTGGGATCCTGATATAGACTGTATAATTCATGGTTGGTTCGTATTCTCCATCCATATTCATCCTTTGTTGGCCCATATATTTTCCTGAGAACTTTCCTCTCCCATGTGTTTAATAGGTTTTCTTCAGTTTTTGTTAGGGTCCAGGTTTCACTTGCATATGTTACAACTGGTCTGATCACAGTTTTATAAATAGTTTTCTTTGTTTCTCTTGTAATGTTTTTACTTTTGAGTATTTTCTGACTACTAAAGTATGCCCTGTTTCCGGCTGATATTATTTCTTGTATTTCTGTTAGTAATTCGTTTCTTTCATTTAACAACGATCCTAAATATTTGAATTGATTTACTTTTTCAAAAGTTCGGTTTCTAATTTTAATTGTTTCGTCTGTTTGTACCTCTCTTATCATGGTCATATATTTTGTTTTTTGGTTGTTAACTTCCAGCCCTGCTTGTAAAGATGCGTCTTCTAATTCAATAATTGTATTGTCTATGTCACAAATTTTTGATGTAAATATTATTGGGACATTGTATTGTCTATGTCACAATAATATTTACATCAAAAATTTTGAAAAGTTTCATTGGCTCGAAAAATGTGAAGTGACTGATACCACTGCGTACTTGTTATTGTCAATCATCTGAAAATTATATCGGTTGATTTAAAAAGAAAGATTGTCTGATTTGAAACAAATTGATTTTCAACTTGGATGATGCAGCCAATGTTAATGGTTTTGTCTGATATTTCAAATATGCAGGATCAAGAAGAACTCGCAGAAATGCAAAATGATGAGTCAGTTGAAACTTTATTTAATATTAAAGGAGCGATGGCTTTGCTTTCTGAAGAAACAGAAATCAAATATCCAAAGTCAACTAAATGTGCTAG